CACAATGGAATATTTCATACCACCCTATTTATTGTAACATGTTATGCTTTATGTTGTTACATGTAATCAAAGGAGTTAAAGATGAAAGACTTCTAGTCAACTGGTCCCTCAGCTGGGAGCCAGTGTGGGTTTGTTCTTTGTAATGTATTGGCTAGTGCTTTACACAGGTCCAGCCTAGCTCAGTTTTCATTATTGGATTTTCTTGTTTCTGCAAATTCCATACTTAGGTTAAGTAATTGCTGAGATTAGACTCAGTATAATGCTGCTACTGTTTGTTTCTTGTGTTTAACTTGATATTGATTGCCCATATACTGAACAAACTTTTTGTAAGTAGTCATTTACCATTTGAACATATAAGCAGCATTAAAGATGCCATGCTTGTTTTCACAGGTATATTCTTTATTGGACAGACAGAGAACTTTGTTCTTTCTTTGTATGAAACTGTGTCCATTTTACATTGTACTTAGGTGTTTTCTTTCCAACATGTAGTGTGTCACCAGATGCTAACTTACATAGTATTACAATAAACCTATCTTTAATTAGCTCATTGTTACCCTTCAGATATTTGGAGTTAGTACAGAATTTGAATATACAGTTTATGTTGAGACACTGATGTCTTGTATTTTCTTGGTGAAAAACATTCTCAAACTGCCTATTTAAATGTCACTATTGCATTTGTACCATCTATTTGAGTATATTATACTGAAATTAGGGACATAATTTTGCCAATACATCCAATATGTTCATAGTGACATAATCTACAAACTGGGCAGTGGTTTGGGAAGGGGAAAAGGCAGATAATGAACATGTTATGGGAAGCATATGAAGCAGGGACAGTGGCTGCAAGTGAGTGGAGTCTGTGTGACTTGGAACTAACAAGGTTTGTAGACAGAACTGTTCTCCACAGGCTGAGGGTGCCAGCCCTTTTTGGGTCAAGGCATTGGCACGTGAGCTTATCTGTGCTGACTGCTCAGAGATTCCCGCTTTCTGATATAGCAGACGGTTACCCCAGGTAGTAGAGCTGTTTCTGCACTGAAGTAGTACTAGCTTCAGGGTCCCAGGAGGAAGCAGCAGTAACATCAGGAGACATTTCAGGTGATGCTGTCTTTGTCTAGACTGCAGTTGAAAGATGTGCAAGTTTCTGCACCATGCTTTAACGTGGTCATCCTAACATACTTTATTTGATGCACATCCATAGTGGATTTCTAGAACATTATATAAAGTTTCTTAGCTATTCTAACAGTGCAGGTGGGAAACATATTCTGTATAAAGTCACTGGAGTCAAGGCAGTAATAGCTTCCTTACCATATGGCATTCTCTGTGCCTTCTTATTGTCTTGATATACCATGCAAGAGCTCTCCTGGGAAGCAGGGGGTGGGGAAGCACAAGTGGCAGAAGAGAGTACAGAACACCGGGGGGGGGGAAACTATCTGACAAGAAAATGGAGAGTAGGGCTGTAAGAAGCTATAGCCTGTGTAGAAAGATGTGGTTAAACCGGCATATAAATGGGCATTGGAAAGCAGGCAGCGCTGTGGGGAGAAATAATTGTGGGAAGGAGCATCAGAATTTGAACTGAGCAAGGGGAGACACGGAGATGAGAAGAGGAAATGTGCTCTGACAACCAACCAGCTGTTCTGGGATCCCTGTAGGGGCAGAACACCATCTTAGTGATCATCTGTTTATAGCCTTGTTTTCTTCTTGAGCTCTTATGCTCTTGGTGAAGATCAGGAACATGGGAAGCACAAGACAAATGTTACACCTGTAAAGTACCTGTTGCATTGCCTAGCAACTGCTCTGTGAACTTCATAATAGAAGCACAGCTCTGAAGCCTAGTGAATCCCGAGTTTCTACAAGACTTCATTTATGTATGTTGGGATTCTGTATGCCTTCTTCTCTAGGTGAGCACCTGGCCCTTCCTTCTCTGCGTTAACAAAAAGCTGGCTGCAGTCTTTGGGCCAGGTAGTAGCCTAGTGGGAGGTGAGGGGTTTCTGCGAGTGGTGATGAATGCTCTGATGTAGGTTCTAGGAAAACAAGGAATCAAATGGCAAACAAGGAATTGAGTAGCATAATTCCACTTTTGTGTAATGGAGAAAAGAGGCATGGGTGGTCAAGAACTGGAACAGAAGAACTGGCAGTTAGAATTGTTGTTGGAGGAAATGGTGTGCTTTTCATTGCAGTGATTATGTTGTAGCTCCTGTGCTGGAGGTTCTCCAAGAGCACTTAGAAACTGACTCAAGAATATACATAGAATTCAAGAACATATTTGAGGTGGGGTGAGGGGAGTACTACCTGGACTTAAATGTATAGGCATTTATGTGAGCGGGAGAAATTAGCATGGCTGCTAGCCCAAACCTGCTCTTACCTGTCAGTGCAAACATTTAAACGTTGGATAAGAAAATTGTCTTGATCTGAAAAACAGGCTTACTTTGAAAGCAAAGAGAATTTTCCAGCAAATTTTGTAGAAAATCAGCTATTTTTTTCTGAACTATAGATCATGTTAAAAAGAAAATCCTATTCCACTTAAAAACATTTTCTCATTAGTTTTTCTTGAGTCTGAGTCAAAATGAAAGTCAATTTGAAGCTGTTCTTTAATAGTTAAAAATAACGGTACTTGGCCTTGACTTTTGCCGCCATTTCATCTCATTTCACAGTTGTATGACTCCAGCACTCTTCTGGAGAAACTAGCTGCTCATGACTTTGATGGGTGTACGCTTCGCTGGGTAAAAAAGTGGCTGGTTGGCCGGGCCCAAAGAGTTGTGATGAATGGAGTTACATCCAGTTGGTGGCTGGTCACAAGCGGTGTTCCCCAAGGCTCAGTACTGGGGCCAGTTCTCTTTAATATCTCTATCAATGATCTGGACGAGGGGATCAAGTGCACCCTTACTAAGTGTGCAGGCAACGCCAAGTTGAGTGGGAGTGTTGATCTGCTTGAGGGTCGGAAGGCTCTACAGAGGGACCTGGACAAGCTGGATTGATGGGCCAAGGCCAACTGTATGAGGTTCAGCAAAGCAAAGTGCCAGGTCCTGCACTTGCGTCACAACAACCCCATGCAACACTACAGGCTTGGGGAAGAGTGGCTGGAAAGCTGCCTGGTTGAAAAGGACTGGGGGTTGTTGGCCAACAGCTGGGTGAAGATGAGCCAGCAGTGTGCCCAGCTGGCCAGGAAGGCCAACAGCATCCTGGCTTGTATCAGCAATAGTGTGGCCAGCAGGACTAGGGAAGTGATCATCCCCTTGTACTTGGCACTGGTGAGGCTGTACCTCAACTATTGTGTTTGGTTTTGGGCCCCTCACTACCAGAAAGACATTGAGGTGCTGGAGCGTGTCCAGAGAACGGCAAAGAAGCTGGTGAATGATCTAGAGCACAAGTCCTGTGAGGAGCGGCTGAGGGAACTGGGGTTGTTTAGCCTGGAGAGAAGGAGGTTGAGGGGAGACCTTATTGCTCTCTAGAACTACCTGAAAGGATGTTGTAGCCAGGTGGGTGTTGGTCTCTTCTCCCAAGTAACAAGTGATAGGACAAGAGGAAATGGCCTGAAGTTGCACCAGGGAAGGTTTAGACTGGATGTTAGGCAAAATTTCTTTACCGAAAGGGTTGTCAATCATTGGAACAGGCTGCCCGGAGAAGTGGTTGAGTCACCATCCCTGGAGGTATTTAAAACATGCATAAATGTGGTGCCTGGGGACATGGTTTAGTGGTGGACTTGGCAGTGTTAAGTCAACGGTTGGACTTGATGATGTTAAAGGTCTTTTCCAACCAAAATGATTGTGTTCTATGATTTTTTTTTCCCCCTATACATTTGTAAGAGATTCACAGAAATGAAAACTGAGTATATCAGTAAATAAATCCTCTACTTTGTTAAAGAGATTGTTTATAAAATTTAGCAAGAAAAAAGTCATGCAGACAGAGGCATAATGAAGTTTATATTCCTGCCTCACAACAGAGTCTGAGGGTTTGTATTACACAGCTTTGTGACTGGGACTCCCTGCTGAGGTTGATGGGACCCTCATTTATAAGTCAAGCAGTCTTGTATGCTCTTACAACTTGGCATGCAACAAGCATTTTCACATAAAGCATTGCTGAGTTACTTTCTGAATATGGTGGAATTCTTTGGAAAGGTCGGGGATGGTAATTGATCATATGCTGACAGCTTGGGGCTCTGAGAAAATGGTCAGATGGAGGGCTGTGATGCAGGAAAACAAACTTTCCAAGATGGTAACTGTCACTTAGCCAAGCTATACATTTTTTAAGCATTTTAATCTTTGCTCACAACCTCAGCTTCTTAATCATTTTTTTGCTGCTTCTCTGTGAACTCTCTTCAGATGTTGACACTTTACTGGTACTGACACATCCACAGTATTCCAGGTATGATCTTGAGCTATGGCAATATTTCTTTGTAGAGATCTTTTAGAAACTCTGCTGCTGCCAAGATGGGTAGTTTCAGGACTTTGATAATCTCTTTCATTATTCTTTGACCTTTGGGTCAAGGACTAGTTTTTCTTTCAGGAACTGCTCACAATGTTCTCTGCAGCTAGAAAAATAAGACTTCAATGTTCATGGGAGTTAAGATGGCAATCTGCTTGAATATTGCATATGTTTACAACAAAAATGTTTGAATTTCCCTATGCTGTGATCCTAAGTTTGGAGTAGATAATGTATTAAAGAGAAACATACAGCTTTGGTGCAAAAAAGCACGAAAGAATCTACCACTTGGTTTCTGAGATCTAGTTTGCACTGATCTTGTATACAGCTATGTTTGTTTGCCTATGTAGTCTGACAGCTTAAAATTACACTAGTTGTCAGTCTCTCTGCAGTAAGATAGAGTATTTTGACTGATTTACTGCCATTATTTTTAGTCAATCCTGAGATAATTTATACATTAATACACTGACAGGAGGAGAAGAGAGACAGGCGTAAGTGAGGCTTTATTAATGACTTTAAAATATAAAAGAATCTGTAAAAATAATGCATGTGTTAATTTTACTAATGCTTTGTAACAGCATATGGTCACGGATCGGATTTTCTCTGGTATTCAGCCAACTGGGACGCCTCATCTGGGTAACTACCTTGGAGCCATTCAGAACTGGGTGAATCTGCAGGAAGAGTGCAGCTCAGTGCTGTATAGCATTATGGACATGCACTCGTTCACCATGCCCAAGGAGCCAGCTGTCCTGCGCCAAAACATACTGGACACCACTGCTGCCGTCCTTGCCTGTGGTATTGACCCAAAGAAGTGTTTCCTGTTCCGACAGTCGCTGGTTAGTGCTCCTGTTACATTAGATTTGTTTCTCATTAAGTGGCTTTTTAGACATGTTAATGAATGAGCATAGCATTACTGAACTCCTTTCTCATCTTTGTGTTGGTGGTCCTACAAAATATTAGCAATGTTGTATTTCAACTTATCTGTTGCTGCTGTTTTGAAGTGGCTGAAACCATGATTGAGAAGTCCATTTAGGGATAAATTTCCCAAGCAGAGCTAGGAGTTTGTGCAGGTTATGAATAAAATACTGAAAAGACCTGTTAGGAGACCATTCATTTAGCTCTGTAAATCTCAGTCACAAAAGATTAACTCATAAATGCATAAACATGGTCTGTGCAATCATAAAAGCATGTAAAACACATTACTATGGTTTTGTATTGGCACTTAAACTTAATCTGCCAGATGCACAACATCTCCAAAGGGTGATTGGCATGGGAAGTTTTGTGTCAGTTCTGTCATAATCACTAGGGAATTCTGTCTTCTCTGGGATTTTTTTTTCCCCCGTCTTCTCTATAACCTCCTTTTCATATGCATCTTTTTCCACTTGATCTGATAATCACATGTGAAATACTTGTTTCTTCTCTTGACCTTCTTACTTGGCATACCTCAGCCTAGTCTACTGCATGCTGCATTTTCCTGGAACACAACTTAGTTTCTTGCCTGATTAACTTTCTGTTATTGAGTCTAAACTGGCAAACTTGTGTAATTTCCCAGAGGCAGATGTGTGATAGCTTCTGCTCTCATGAAGATATCTTTAAATGGATGTCTGACTTGCAACAGAACAGCAAAGGTGATGTGCACAGGGTCTGAATTTTATCAGTGCAGGATGAAATCATGGTATTACATTCCTCCTCTGAAGATGGTTCTTTACTGGCAGAATTTCCTGTTGGGTTTTTGTTTTGTTTTCAAGCAACTGAACAATTCAGTTACGATGCAGGATCAGTGACTAGATACACAGAGAGGACTCTTTAGCCTGAAAGATAGATGATTTGCAGGTTATGGTTAGAGAAGAATAAAGTAAACGTTTATAAAACTGCAAGTGAAATGGAGAAAGTAGATAGGAAACACCTGTTTTATCCACTGAAGAACGTGAACTAACAGGTATCAAAATAACACCTGGTAGATTCAGCATGAGCAAAACAATGCTGCTTTTCATGAAGTCCACAGTTAGGCTACAGAACTCCTTGGCACAGGATACAGTGCATGCTGAAATGTGTGTGAATTCAGGAAAGGACTTGACAAATTAATCTGAAAAGTCAGCTGGGGACCTGAGGTGCCACCTCTGCAGGAAGTGCTGCAGCCCCAGTTGGGAGGGTGTCTATGCTTTTGTGTACTTATGCTCTTTTCTGTTGGTTGCTGTCAGAGATGGATATTTGATCTCTTCCAGTGTTGCTTTTTCTTACGTTCTTAAGAGTCTAAAAGCTAAAATACTGCTGTTCCAGGTCTTGCTGAAGCCAACATACAGACTTCCCTTGAAGCCAGCAGATTATCAGTGAGGATCTTACATTGCAAGCAGCCACAGAAAACATGTTGTATCTTCTACAATATAATAATGCAGAGATTGAGTCTTTGAGTCCCCAAAGAGAAAGTATCAAACTCAGGAGATGATGGGAGGACAGGACTGTAAGTGATGCTTCTACAGAACCAATACAGTCAACAACCAATGAAAACTTCAGATAACTAGACTTCAAAAATGTTCAGTTTCATCAAACAAGTTTCCAAAGATGATTCTGGTTTGTGTTATGGTGGTTAGGCTAGCCTCTGTTAAATAGACTACCTTTTATTGTAATTCTTCTGGGTGTCCTTATCTATCCAGATCTAATGGTGGTTGTTCTTAATCTAAACCATAAGTATTTGCTTTCCATGGGCAGTGTCTGATGTCTTGAACTGTATTCTTACTAATACTTATCATGTGTATCAATACAGTTTTCAGAAGTGGCTGATTCTAGCAGATTTTTGTAAGCTCATTGTCACACTGCAAGCAGAAGAAGGGCTATTACAGTTGTTTGCGAATCCAGACTGTTTCAGTAATGGTTCAGGCTGAAGTGGTTTGACTTCCCAAAACCAAGTCTATTCAAGCTGTATGTAGTGATCAGGTATACCCAGAGATGCACTATGGTCTGCTACAATTCCAGACATTTCTCTGGAAGCAATTAAAAGGAATATCTGCGTATAGCTCTTGATGCGAGGAAAGGAGACAGGAACCTTGTTAATGTGTTTATTGTTTTAGTAGTTCATTTAGTAATGAAATAGTACGTTATGGAATGTCATAATGTCGAGAAGATTGTTCCTAAAAACAAAGGTGTAAGATGGATTGTAGCTATTGCTAATCAAGAAAGTTTATTGCTTGATTTTGGATTGGTAATTGCTCAGTTTTCAAAAAAGGAGCTGGCCTCTCCTTTTCAGCCACTGTAGCAGTTTCCAAGGGTGGTCTAAAAAGCCACAGTTTGGTTTACAAACATTTGGCTGAGGTGTAAAGCAAATTGACCAAAACTGATTGTATACTGAAATAGGTTGTACTTCCAGAGGTCATCAGGAAAGCTGTTAAAATCCAGTTGCAAATAGAGAACTGGTTTAGGTATTTGGTTATGGGCAAAGTTGCTTTCTCTCTTCAATACTAGACCAAACTGATAAATGAGAGAGTTCTATCTTGAAAATGACCAAATCTGTAGATCACAGAAGTGCTACTGCAGTTACTTGTGATTAACGCTTCTGTTCATTTTTTTAAAACAAACATCATGCAACAAAATTATTATGAAATAAGAAATTTTGGGTTTAATCACCAAAACTAGGTACAACTAATGACTAGAAGCATCGTGATTCTGTAGCATAATGAAATTCTTCCACTGCAAAAGTGTACTAGTAATGGTAAGCTCCCTTTAAGGGAATTGCTCGTGCAGTCACTATTGTACATGCTTCTGTGTCCTCTTACTTTATCTGGGTTAACTTGGGCAAGAATGGTCTAGAATTGCTGAAGAGGGTGGGGGTTTTTTATTTATTTGTTTGGCTTACTCTTTCTGTTTGTTCTTTCTGTTGCTGCTTGTGTTGCTTCTCTGGAATATGTTTGCCATATGTGAAACAAAAAATCGATTACTTTTTTCTTGAAAGGCATACACATTTGGTATGGGTTTCACTGTCAGTAGGCTTTTATTTACAGCAGGGTTTATGCAGATCAAATCTCTAATCCAGAGCTATCTGAAATACCTGCCTCCAGAGTTTTCCCACATTTTATCATCCTTTCCAATACAAGCAAGAGACAAAAGGCTGAGCCATGTTAATCACAGATTGACTGCTGGGAAAAAGTGTGGTGACAAAAGATACCTCTCACAATTAAACTAGATCGAAAAGGTGCTGCTACGATAAGGAAACAGGTGAAGTTGTCTTGGAGTCCCAGAACTGATTTCAGTCATGTCCTTGCCTTGCAAGTAAAATGAAATAAAAGTGAGAGGAATTTTGCATAGACTGATTATTATTGTATTGCTTAGAGGGTATATGGCCTCTGTTCTTATTTATCTGGCATACAGCTAAATTTCCTATAAATGGAAAGTGCTAGTTTGATGAAAATTAGTTTTGTATGCTTCAGAATCTACCACTTGTAAATTACAGGCTTTTATAACATATATAAACAGAAAGTTAATGGCTGGCTGTATATTTGGTCTCCATACATAGCAGTTCACCAAATACCTCCCACACTTACAGTACCATATACAAACTTGAACTCCAGCTTAGGGAGGTAGTGGCTACAGAGAACAAGTGATTAACTTGAAAATATTTAGAAGCAAGAAGGATGATGGTGCATATTTAGGGTCATGTTTGGAACCACATTGTCTGTGAAGGGTTATAAACAAGCACAGTTAATTAGAGTATCTAGGAAAACACAATTTTGGAATGAGTTGGACACTAGAATGCCTCCCAGTGAGAAGCTCTTTCCTTACAGCTTGTTTAATTATATTTTCTTAAGTAGGAAGAGAAGCCATAGAAGAGTGACAATTTCTATAAGAATAAAAATAAATGTATATTTCAAAATTATGCATTTTTATTTGGAGCACAGCTGCAAGATGTGTGAAACTCTCTTTGCTCTTAGGGAAAATAATGTCAAGATATGCTTTAAGTGGCTGCCTTTGCCCACCAGGCATAAAAGAGAAGGAACAGAATAATGACTTAACATATCCTGAGAATACTAGAAGAAAGAGCAAATATATTCCTTAAATTGTACCATAACTGATAAAAGCTGTAACAGTCATCTTTCATAAAATTTGGAACATTTTATTAAAACCAAAAAAGACTACAGTGAGGGAAATAAGGATGACAGTAAGCAATCTGCACACATGGTAAGCTTATATGGTATAACCCATTTTCTCTCATTCCTGGTGGGTACAATACACATTTCAGTTCTTACCCATAACCATCTTGTATCTCATCTGCTTCACAGTCAAAACAATTTTAGAAACTGTTGTTGCTTTTATGTGGTCTCAGGCTGTTCTTCCTGTCCACCTACCTATCATTGTAGACACATGCTAAATGTCCCAAGAGAAACAAAAATTCCATCAGAGTTGATTCAGCAGGCAGTGGTTAATATGCTGCACTGACACTTCTCTGAGGAGTTCTGTGAGGTTCTGGACAACGTAACATTCAGTTTCTGGGCAGAAAATTGCAGTTTTCAGCCTTCTGGATGGGGTGATTTATTTTCTGAGTATAATCAGCTGCAGTATTCTTGCAGCGTGCAAGCAAATTGAAGCAGTAACTCTGGGAGGTGGGAATTTGCCAATTTGTCTTAGCCTTAACTCCAAAAGCCAAAATACGACAATTTAAATGTGTGCACTAACTGTTTCACTGCTATTATTTTCCAGAAATATCCAGCTGCTTTGTTTTGTGGGCAGAGTTTGAATGGATTCATACTACTTCTTGTCCAATTTTCAGAGGGGCTTAAAAGCTTCAATTGCATCATAGCTTATAAATTCATTAAAGTACATTAATTTAGCATGGTCCATTGAAAAC